CTCGGCGACCCCCTCGGAGCTCCGAGGAGGTGGCTCTGCACTCGGGGACAAAGAAGTGTTTAATCCCTTCATTTAAAAAGATCTGGCTATCAAAGGTACGATGGCTACAAAGACAATACACGAGCCACAGGATGTCTGGGAAGCCGATTCATCCTGACATCGCCATACGCTTCGTTTGTGACTCTGTTATATCTCTTCATTCACTAAGTACTCGTGAACCTGTATGTGGCTCCTCTGGCCTAAGGGACTCCAGGACACTAACGTTCATTTCCCATGGACGCAGAGTCCCCGACGTGGGTGGAGGGCACAGGTTCCTTGGAGGGAAGGGCGCGGCAGTGACGGCTATGAAAAGACAAGGCTGGAAGGGCTGGCGGCCAGCCAGCCCCACCCCCGACCCCAGGCAGGGCTGGGGTGAGGTCGGAGCAATGGCATCAGGAGATCACATCCCGACGTCTCTAGCAAGAGCCTAACTGCTCAACCCCCACCTCTCCTGTGTGTGTTTCCAGACACAGAGTCCAGCACAAAGAACGCCCCTTTTTTTTATTACACAATCTTTTATGACAAAATCATAAGCATGTGACCCTGTGACATAACACTGTCACACTCAAGCACACCCTGTGATATTTTAGGTGAAATGTTCAAATGAAAACCATCGATTATTACGCCCATACTCTCACCCTACCAACAACACTCAAGCAGGCGTTGTTTCTGCCGGACCCGGTATGGGGGACCCATGTCACAGTTTCCAGCACGACCCCTGCACAGATTCTTCTGTCCTGTCTTGAGTACTTGGGTCCGTACCTGTATCAAAATTTTCCATCTACAAAATATCATCGCTGTGGGAGCCATCTGAGGCCCCACTGCCAGTGCCCATCCTCTTACACCAGAGCAAGCACTTAGCTGCCCGAGAAAAGTTTCTTCTCTGAACGCAGGAGGAAAACAAAGTCGACGCGCTTTAAGCCCCCTGAGGTTCGTTTTACTGTGGCGCCCTCTAGTGTCGCATGAGGTCAGAGTCACTTTCTAGCCAGAGACGTACGTAGACCACAGAAGAGAAGCGAAAATTGGAAAAGCAGTCATTTGGGTAATTTTTTTCCCGTGTTTCCTTTTGCATAGCGTGGAAAGAAGTGTGTTCCCTCGCCTGAGTCACAAGGCCCTTTCCAGTCTTATCCTCCGCCATGTCGCCCGGGAACACTCAACTTCAACCATTCCCAGCCGCTTGCTGCTCCGCCCAGAAAGCCTTCTACCGCCTCCCCCCGCCCCCCCCCCTCGCCCCCCCCCCGCCGTCCCTCCTGCCTGTTTGAAAACTTTCTACCCCTCCTTCTAGTATCAGCTGAAGCGTCACTTCCTCCCCAGCTCTTGGCCCCTCTGAGACTCTGTTTCCTTACCTGTGAGTAGACCACATTGAACGTCTGCTCAAACTCCAGTGATTCTCTACGCTGCTTTTAGTGCCTCCTTTAAGAGCCTCCAAATATTAAATGACAAATCAGTTCAATACTTCAGATGCCTCTCTGTAATTGTCATAGGCCCGCTTATGAAATGTAAATTCAGTTGCATTGAAAATCACTTAGTTGCATTTCTGTCATTTTTTTTTTAAATAATGATTTCTAAGAATTTGTTAGATTACATGGGAACACACTTAAGTTGAGTAATCTGAGATAAGAGCTTTAGGCAAAAGAAAAAGACATTTTTTTCTCCCTAAATGATACAAACAGAAGTCCAAGTTAGAGCCTGAAACTTCACCATGAAACTGTCATGTCTAATTCTGACCATCACAACTGATAAACTCACTTTCCGAGTTCCTCTACTTCTGTTTTTCCCAGCAGTCAAAATGACCAGCATGCAAACCTTGAACTATGAGACTTCCTGAAGAATTGTCACTAAAAGCACTCATACCGGTAGATACACTGCTGTGCGAGGGAGACCCAGACCCTGGAAGGACCTGGCTCCGGCAGTCCTGGTACACAGACCTGCTTTCCTGCCGCCGTTCCCAGCTGAAGTGCCAGGGAAGGCTGGCAGCTTAATGCTTTAAGCAGCAGCTCCGATAAATGTCCAAATCGCGTGTACTGTTTTCAGTGACAGAAGCACCCAATGGTATGATTTGTACCATAGATATTCTTCTAGCACCCACTTCTTTCTTCCTTCTAAATATTGTGTTTTGCTAAAGCCAGAATAGGTTGTTTAGGTATGTAGCTAGCAGATAAATAAGTACAAATTACTAACACATGTGCAAACTGAATTTCCTCCAATCCCTCCTTAAGAACCATAAGCTCAGACACAGAAATCTGTTTGCTTACATTTTGTATTTCTCAAAACCTCATATCTATGACTGTATGTGCAAAGCACATACTTATAGGACATTAAACCGGAAGAGATCTTTCTGGTCATTTGATCCAACTGCTTACACGGGAGGAAAACCAAAGCCCCAAGGGGGAGGTGCCACACAAGAGTGGGAAAACTCTCTCTTTTCTTTTCTGACACCCCAAAACGAGAACTTCTGCTTTGCACGTAAGTCAACCTGATGTCACAGAATGGTGAGGGGAAGGTGACTGCCAAGGGAGGTGACAGTCACATCTGTGTTCCCACAGAGCCGTCTGTGCCAGCAATTCTTTTACAAGGTGAAAATCAAATCTAAAACATGACAGGAAAGTATGGTGATTCACCAACTACCTTTCTCCTACAATGAAAAAAAAAATACCCAGCTCCCCTGGGTAAAGGACAAGCGCTTCAGCTCTCCCTCACACCCGGTACCGACCGCTGCAAGACCAGTCCGTACAAATAGGCGGGGTTTGTGCATCATCATTCATCCGATCCTTCAACCCAACTTCCAAACAGTTTTATCAGTGAGTTGCCTCTTTTTCAAAAGCTATTCTGCATCCTTTTCTCTTAATGTCTCTCTCTCCCTCTCCCTCCCTCCCTCTCTCTCTCTCTCTCTCTCTCACACACACACACACACACACACACACACTACAGCCACCACCATCCCATCAAGCTTCAGGGAGAATACACACGGTCTATCTGTGCCATCTTTCTCCTTAATAAAGCCCATGAAATTAAAATGTTAGCACCCACTGCCCTGCGTCCTGTGACAGTATAAGAAATCATGTCAGCTAAAACAGTCTAGCTGGAAATTTTAAAAAAGCATTTGAAGTCAGCGTCAAGGGAAGAACTGCAAACATCTGTGCCCCCAAACCTCTGTATCCAGGATGCACGGAAGCACGTTTCCTGAGCCAACAGCTCCGTAGCACCTCCTGTGTCTTTGCTCCCGTGACTTTTGCCAGGATCTGAGACTTCCCAGTGAATCCCCGCATCCTGGAAACCGGCGCTGCGCTCTCTGCCAAGGCTCCGTCCCAGAGCTGCTGGGCGACGGGCCGGGAAGGATCCTTCTCCTTCTCAGCATCCCCTGGACTTTGAGAGTCCGCAGCAGCCCTGCCACCAGCGGTCTAACCATCCATTGCCCCCTTTGCTCTATCCCGCCCAGAGCCCTCGTTGAGCCTTGACGAGCGCGGGGGGTGGGGGCAGGCACCTGTCCTGGCTTTTCATCGTCACAGCATAAGGAAATCCGTACCACTGTGGTGGTTTGAAAAAGCCACGCTCAGGGCTCCCAGACCTGCTACACGCACTCAGCTGTTCTATTTTTGGTTACACTCTTTGTTTTCTTCTCGGAAGTGCCTGATTCCGGTCTGTGCCTCAGGCACCTTACCATGGACACACTGCGCCACCCCCGCACCGGAGATAGAAGGAAAGGTATGATGGGATGGGGACAGGGAGAGCGTGGCGTGGTGCTCGCCGGGCTGCAGGCGGGAGCATGACAGCAGCTCCGCTTCTGGAATTTGGGGACACAGGTCCTCTCTGCAGTGCCGTGAACCTAACCACACCCCCCACCAGCCTCTCTGCATGAAAAACCCCGTTTCCGGCAGGCAAAGGCAAGCCGAGGCATCTGCTAGAACTCCACTCATCCCATCCCGGTCTCTCTGAGGTACCCAGCCTCTGGCATGTCCATCAGGAAGAAAGGTCCTATCATCTAGTCTTTACCAGGGACAGTTCTCTAAGCCAAAGCAACCTGCCAGGGAAACGAGAATGACCAGACTAGCCCTGGTAAGGAGCATGGGCAGGTTATACATGTATTTTCAGTGGAGTTGCCTGCAGTCAAAAACAGCCTTAAAGACCTCATAATGTTTGCAGGTGTGAACAAGTAAATAAGGAAAAATAATGTCAAAGGGACCAGAATAAGAAGAAGGAGAAATGGAAGGAATCTCTTCAGGACGTGGGGGAAATATTAGGAAAACGATCACCCACCACATCATGTATTGGACCAGATGGAAACCGGGCACGGTGATGTCCGTACGTTGTGACCGGCAGAGAAAGGCTGGGAGAATCAATATCAGATTCAGTGGTTGGGGCAGATGTTCAGCCATGTGTGCGTACACACGTGAACACACACACATCTCTGCCTTTGACATGCACAGGTTAGCTGTTTAAGGGAACGTAATAGCGATACCTTGAGCGTTCTTTACAAAGCAGAAGCGAACGCCCCCAGGCATCTGTGGGTGGGTGGAATTGAGCTCATTCTTATTTCCTTTTTATTTTAATTCCCTGATCAGACACTCACTGGCAGAATGGGTAAACCAAGGTATATGAGTGACGCGAGGCTTCCAAGTGACAGCTCGTGAAACGGCACCCAAATTCTTGCACTGCCGAGCAAAACAGACCGCTCCAGAAGCGGCACCCCTGCCCTGCCTCCCCTGTGCCCCGCCATGGCCACTGCTGAGAAAAGGGAAGGAAAAAGGAGACCAGAGAAGGGTGTTTAACCACACTCTACATTCCCCGGGAGGCAAGGAAAAGAAAATCTAACAATCTGGTGACCAGATTATGTGCAGGGGACACTCTGCTGCTGCTGCTGCTGCTGCTGCTGCTGCTGCTGCTGCTGCTGCTGCTGCTGCTGCTGCTGGAGTGGCCATCGTCCCGGGCATGTGGAGACAAGATGCCCGTGTGCATCTTACCTGGGGAGCGTAGACGTGCAGGCAGATGTAGGTGAGACAGAGGAGCAGCCCCAGCCCCTGGACCACGGCAGCCACCAGCAAGAGCTTGTTTGTCGGGAATCGCCGCCCTGGTGTGCTTCTCACATTCTCATCCAGGGCTTGGACCCCTTCCATCTTCGCAATCCGGATGCAGGAAAGACGAAAACTGAGCCAAGGGGAGATCTGGGGGAGAAAGGGTCCTCTCCGCAGCCAAGAAGGCGAGGATCACGAAAGGAAGCGGGTCGATCAGAAAATCCACAGACGTCCCAGGACCAGAGAGTAGAGGCAATTGAAAGCGCAGAGCGGACTCTCTCGGTTTTAACGCTGCAGGCAGGCGGGGAACTTCTTTGTGACTAATCTGAATTTCCCCTTTACTTTCTTTCTTTTTTTTTTTTTCTTCTCTGGGCTAACAGGGAGTTAGTTGTTTTTGTGGCATTCCAGTTCTGATTTGAGTGATGTGAGATGACAGTCATAAAAGAATGCTGTTTTCTTAATTTCTCATTGCACCGGTAACCAAATCGTGGGCCACTTCTAAGATAAAAATCAGCATCCGTTCCTGTAGGAGCTCCTGTATCCCTCCCCCTGAGGTGTCCTTACATCCCAGAAGAGATTAAGGGAGATGCTGGGAACTAAGCATCGAAGCCGTTCTACAGATTTTGGGGGATGGGGAGGGTCACACACAAATCATTTTCGAAGTGAAAAAAGAGAGAAAAGAACATAGGATGGTGGGTCCTACAGAAATAAAGGAGCAAGACCCTCTCACGTTAAGCTTTGAAGGTTGCTCCTTTCTCCGAAGTCCAGGGTAGACTCGGAACTTGGAAAATAAGGATATTCTACCAACTGACAGGCAATATTTACTCTTTACCATGGAAATAAATGACGAAACTATTTATAATGCCAAGTTCAAATTGACAAATATTGACTGAGTACCTAGTAATAAGCCTCGTGAGATTCTGGATGACAAGGGGTGCTGGGGAGGAGCTGCTTAAGCCAGAACTCCAGCTCTTCTCTGGGCAAGAAGGCCCCTCGGAGCTCCCCATCAGTCACTCGACAGACGTCTGAAGAGAGAAGGGAGGGACTGATATTTTGATATCAGCCATATGAGATTTTACATGCAACTTAGTCTTGCAGAACATGAATATGAGGTGTATCTGAGAGATTGTGAAAAAAGGAAAGTGCATTTATTATTACAGTATTAGTGACTTAAGACATGAATTAACACCTTCATGATCATCATTATGCCTTGTGTTTGAGGGCCACATTGGTTTTCAGAAGTTCAAGTTTTTGTCTGAAACAAAAAAGGGAACTGAGACCATTGTGTCATAGACTCCAAGCCAAAACTAAAAGTCAAGGTCCATCCAGATTACCTCCTAACTCATTCCCACAAGCAAAGTATGTGTAATACACAGGGTGTGGAGAGGGAAAATGAAATAAAAATCTGTGTAGAGCCCAGTCCTCACGGAATAGTTAACAGCTATAAATAGACACTAACACAGATAATGATTTATGCATTTATTTCAAAAACTAAAAGAGTCACAGCAAAAAAAAAAAAAAGCCAAAGATGCTATTGGACATGAGAACAGCTGAAAAAGAAATTGTAAAAACCATGAATGCTGAAAATTGTAGAAAATATTTTTAAATGATGGCCAAACAGGTGAAAAAAAATATGCATTTGCAGAGTGTACACCTGTGCCCCGAACAGCCTCTCACTGTTCATGTCACTCCTAGGAAGGACAACTGACAACTGCCATTTCCCCTCAGAGACCAGGGGGACAGTGCGACAAGAGGAACTGCCATTTTGGTGGTGTCCCCCCCCCCAAAAAGCAGAGGGTCAACTATGCCAACATTTGAGCCCACGCGGCTCTCGTCTCCCGCTCCTCAGTCTCGGGCTGTCATATTTTGCCTACTTGTAAGTTTTGGTTGAAATTTAAATGGTTTACATTTTACTGTTTCTTTTTTCAGTTATCACAGCCTTACAGCCCCTCTTCACATTCTCTGTGGGAAGAGGGGGAATTTGCATAGAAAAAATAAATATGAATTGACTTGGAAGTTCCTGGTGAGACCTTCGGATAGACAAGGGAAGCGTTTCGGAGTTCAGCATCAGGCTGGCCTGGCAGCTGGAGCTCAGGAACCTGCTATCAGAGAGAGCCCGAACAGCATTTTGGTCTTAACTGGGGGGAAGAGTCCTCCACCTCCAAAGCTGACCTGTTGTAAAGAGATCAACATGTTACCTGAATCCATGGGCAATTTTTGTATCCTCACCCAAGAGCATGTTTCCTTCGATTTTGAGTGAGAAAGAGAGAGGGAGGGAGGGAGGGAGAGAGGGAGAGGAGCACCAATGTGACAAAGAAATGTCAACTGGTTACCTCCTGTACGTGCCCCTACCAGGGATCGAACTCACAATGCAGTTATGTGCCCTGACCAGGAAATGAACCAACAACCTTTTGCTGTACGGGGTGATACTCCCGCCAGCTGAGCCACACAGCTAGGGCTGGGTAATTTTTTAAAGCATCTCACACATACTCTGGTTTCTCTTCAGATTGTATAAATCCTTCCCTTTTTAAAGCATCTCACAAAAATCAAACATACAGACACACCTGAGCAAACCATCCCTGGCATGGGAGCCTCAGACTCCATTCAAGTAATTACCTTTCCAAAGATGATCAGCCCCTACATGCACACCCCTTTCAAGACTACAGAAAGGTAGGGAAATAAGGCTCTCACAGTTGACGTGATACCTCATGTTTAGAAAGCAACAAAAACTTTCTTCGATTTTTTGGTTTGGGGGTTTCTTTTTGTTTGCTTGGGTTGGGGGTGATACACCTGTACTGTTCATTTGTTTGTAAGTCGTTTGTCTGTTCAACAAGCAAGAACCAGGTGACGACACACCAGTGCTGAGGGGCAAGAGAGGAGCGGACCGTATTCTCAGTCCTCAGGGGGGTCACAGCCAGGACAGCGCTGGCTCTGGCTCGGGGTGGCCGCGCGGGAGGGGAGGCACACAGGGCGGATGCTAGCTCAGACCGGGGTGACGGTTAGGAGCACTTCCTTGGGATGAGTCAAGTAAGCCTCAGAGAATCCAGAAGCCATCTGGCCTTCCGGGGGAGCGCGGAGGGCCAGCGACTGACTGCTGGCAGGGAGTGGGGAGAATGCAGCCTGGGCCTCTCTCGCCCAGGAGACCGCAGCTGGAGAGGAGGAAGTCGAGGAGAGTGGCCGAGGAGAGTGGCCGGGGAAGAGGGCGGGAAGCTGCCATGAGCGGAGCTCCACTACCAGAACAGGCACTCTATCCTGAGGACACTGGGAGCGCGTAGAAAGGTATGAAGCAGAGCGGGATAGAATTACATTGCACACAAAAATCACTCTGCACAAAAGGGAAATTGGCAAGGCGGGATCAAGGAGACCTGCTGGGAGACCGTTTCAGGGGCCGGGTCCCCGCCGAGGGTCCCCCAGCCCCACATGCAGCTCCCCGAGCCCTCCATCCTGCAGCGGGGTGAGGGCTCCATCCTCCGGGGAGGGGAGGCTCAGGCGTCCCACGAAGGTGTACTCTGCGCCCACGCCCTCAACGAAGGGCTGCCGTCGCCTAAGTAAAGGCCCTTCTTCTCATTCGTAAACTTAGAAAGGACACTTTGTTCCAATCCACACAAAGACAGAGTATGGGCAGGGGGATGGTCCTCAAGCTTACAATGAGGATTTTTTTTCATCCTTGTCCAAGGATATGTTTTCACTGATTTTAGTGAAAGAGGAAGGAGAAGAGAGGGGTTGGGAGAGACAGCAAGAAAGAAACATCAAACAGTTGCCTGTCGCAGGTGCCCTGACCGGGAACCAAACCTGCCACCTAGGTATGTGCCCTGATCGGGACTCGAACCTGCAACCTTTTTGCTGTCAGGGACAACACTCCCACCAACCGAGCCACCCACCCAGGGCTTACAATGATCTAAGCGAGAAATAATAAGACCTTGAACTGAAGCGGAGAGGGTCATGAGAGAAGAGGATGGTGACAGGGCTCTTCATCCCCCAGACATTTCAAGGGCCCGCCATGGGCCCGGCTCTGAACCCACAAAGGGAGCTGTAACTAAGCTCTCTGCTCTGGTACAGGGCACGGGGGATGGGCGGTGATGGGAACCCATGCATTCCAATGCATTTCAAAAACCCTATTTGCACCCTGGCTGGCGTAGCTCAGTGGATTGAGCGTGGGCTGCAAACCAAAGTGTCGCAGGTTCGATTCCCAGCCAGGGTACATTCCTGCGTTGCAGGCCATAACCCCCAGCAACTGCACATTGATGTTTCTCTCCCTCTCTCTCTCTCTCTCTCTCTCTCTCTCTCTCTCTCTCTCTCCCCCCCTCCCTTGCCTCTCTAAAAATAAATAAATAAAATCTTAAAAAAAAAAAAAACAATTTGCCATCTGTCTTCTTAACCTACTCTCGATCCTGAAGTCCCCATCTGGTTCATGTTGCCAACCCTGGAATCAGCTTTGATGCTTCCTTGCCCAATCCACCCAGCATTGTAGGGCTGCTCTGCCCTACAGCTCAGACTCCCCCCCACACTTTGCTCTTCCTACTGCTTCCGACCCGAAGTCCTTACCGCTCCCCACGTGAACTCCTGCACTAAACTCCCGTTCTCTTACACCTCCAGCCCCGTCTGCCTTGGCAGGCTTCTCCAACCCAGTCATGACTGGGATCCTATCAAAGGGCTCCATCTCAGAGAGAGAAAAGTTGGAATTCTCTAGCGACATCCAAGTCACTCCATCGTGGAACCCCCAGTGTCCTCTCCAAACGTATCTCCCTCTACTTCCTGAGTATTTCTGACAGTCACTTGGCCTCCAATGTCCTTACCCACCCTCCGTCTCAGGTGACCCAAACCCTGCGCACTCACACTTCCATGACGGGGCTGGCTGCCTTGTGAGGTGAGCTTGCATTGTTCTCAAAGAGGTTACGCAAAACCCTCCTAAAGGAGCACCGCTCAGGGAATTCTAGCACCGGGTAGGAGGTTTGTAGAAGCAGTCATTCCCAAAGCCTCACTAATCCTCACTAGCACAAGGAGAACTTCGGGAGGATCCAGATTTCTTAATCCCTTTACTCAGGAAATTCTGATTCAGTCTCGGTAACTCTCGAGTAGTGCCATGTGAATGTGTATCCCTA